ACTTTTAACACCAAATCCTCATACTTTTTTTTCTTCTATAAATACCAACCAATACAACTAATAAAATAAAATCTTATCCAAAAATATTATCTGATAAAATAAAATCTTGCCTTTCATTTCTTAGTTTGCTTGCCTTTCATTTCATTGTGTTTTTTTTGTTTTGTTTCAATAATTAGTGGTCATTCATGTATTTTATTTTATTAGTTGTATTGATTTATCTGAAATTTGAAATTTGAAATTTATATGAAATTTGAAACCAAAAATCTTATCCGATATGAGTAGTATTGACACGTAGGAACCCAAAAATCTTATCCGAAAATATTATCAAAATCAAATGTTTAAGTAAACAAAGTTGTGAAAAAAAAAACAAAAAAATGAATAGTATTTGCCATGGCAAGCCTAAACTGCTGGAAACACACTTTGCTAGGGGGCTAGGGTAGCCACTATTCACGTGAATAGTAGCCGCCCTAGGGCTCCCCTTGCCATGACAAGGGGCTAACTGGTGGAAGTGCTCTAAAAGATTAAGCGAACTCATAACCAAATTGAAAGTAGAGGACACAAATTGACTTTCACTGTAAAATATTCGAGGCTTCACTTGAGTAAATGAGTTGCTGCAATTTAGAATATGTGGTCACTCTGCTCACTGTCACTTGTCCATGAAACGAGAAGACTTCCATGAAACAGAGATACTCAATATTGATGATAGCAAGTCTCTTTAACGTTCAAAATTACATAAATAAAAAGATATTAAAAGATAAATAATGAAGGAGTTAAGAATTCAACTTCATCAAAATACCATTTATGGCTACCCAAACACATATATGTGAGTCTGTGACACGATTCATAGCTTAAAGTAAAAAGGGTTTAATTTTTTTTTTTCCTTTTTCTTTCGGTTTGCTTTTTGTCATGGGAAAGGAGGGACGACAAGGTAGCATTATGAGAAAAAAAGAACTCCTAAAGTTTGTTAAAGGTGATATCAACCCTATCAATGGGTGTTGGATGTGGAAGATAAACCATCTCTGCATCTGGGTTGAGTAGTTCCCACCTGAAAAATTCAATTACAATAAAATTCATCATAATTATTGTCTCCAAATTTTAAACCATATGCATTATTGAAAAATAAAGTTACTTTACTTGTATCCTGTGCACAAATGATGTAACAAGATTGCAAGTTGCATCCTAACAAGCATGTTGCCTGCACAGATTCTTGGTCCACCACCAAAAACTTGGTATGTTCCAGGCCTAGCTGGTTCCTGAGGGATTGAATCAATAAGTAAATTATCTCAAATTAATACATAGTAAATTTAGGTTTTAGCCACACAAAAATTTTCACTTTTGGAAAAAGTCAAAACTTAAAAATTAAAAATTAAAAATTAAAAAAAAAAAAACTATCAACTTTCAAACAAAAAACATACAAATGTAAAGGATTCGTTAGGAAATTCAAAATAGATAAGGGGCTTACATTCCATCTATCTGGGTTGAAACACATAGGATCATCAAAGTTCTCTGGATTTGTGTGAATATAGCGAAGCCAAAGAATCACTCTCCAACCCTTAGGTATTATATAACCTGCAAAGATTTACCATCTTTTGATTAATTAACTAGTATTATATGTAAAACTTCAGTTGAAGTATCCCTCAAATATGCTTATTTGAGGAACACCCTTGTAGGGTCCACTCCGTATTGTATTTGACTAATCCAAACTGTCTGTTTTGTAGATACTCATTCAAATATCATCTCTACAAAAAAATGATAGTACCTTTATACTCAACTTCCTTGACAACCGATCGGAAATGAAAAGCTGAAATGTTTGCCATTCTTATTGTTTCTTCCACCACCTGTATGTATTCAGATTAAGTTCCTTTGAACAATTTATATTGCAATCTATCTACAAAATGTATATATACCTTGTTTGTGTATTTCATTTTTGAAACATCGTCACTTGTAATAAACTCTCCTTTCTTGTTCTGACTTATAGCCATATTCTCCTCCTGTAAAACCACAAGAGAATCTCAAGATCACGAGATTAATTACTTAATTAAGAATATGGGATGGTGTCATACCCGAAGCTTTTTCAGGACATTAGGGTACTTGGCAAGATAATATATAGCCCACATTGATGCAAGGGAAGTAGATGAATATCCTCCAACAACAAGGCTCACAATATTGTCCAGCACCTCTTGGTCACATAATTTGTTACCCTCATCATCTATAATCTGCATAAGCCCATCCATTAGGTCATTTGTCACCACTTCTTTCTGGGTTTTTTTCTTCTCAAGCTCCACCATGAAAATATCCTCAAGCTTCTTCCTACACTGCAGATTCATCCAAATTTTTATAGGCAAATAGAATATTATTAGTAAAGTTTTATGGTGAATAGTATGTTAAGATTACAAACCTGACGAGCATGGTGAAAGGCAGATCCAGGAATGTTGAATGGTTGAGCTCTAATTCCTTTGACCAATCCATCAAACAAGTTGTCAATGGTATCAAGGAGAGGTCCTGGTTCCAAACTTACGAATAATTGTCCAATATTTTCAAATGTTACCTGCTATTATATATCACACATAAGCATCATATATTTTTATATAAAATATATGAAGGGTACATATGGTTGTACATATGTTTTGATGAATTTACCTTCTTTGTCTCGTCATATGCTTTGATTCTGCCCTTCTGAGCCCATGACTCAAGAGCAGCTATGATGCGAGGTTGGACCATTGGGGCAATGCGTCGAAGAGCATCTGGCTGATTAATGACATTTGTGACATAACTTCTAAGCCTTGCATGGGATTTTCCATGGACAGCCACCAAGGAAGTATAACCCATGAGATCAACACTAGGCCAATTTAGGATGAAGGTATCGTCGGATTGAAAGACAAATTTGTTGACTGCAGGGAAGCATGCTATGATGGACGGTGATCGGGAGAGGTAGGTTCTATACATTCCCACTCCATCTCCATACCTAATAATATTTTACCAAAATAGGTCATATATTGATCCACCATTTGATAACAAATGAATGAGCAATATTATATATGTCATATTTATGGGAAGAGAGAGAATTATTTTGATGTTACAAGCGTTGTAAGAGAAGATTCTGAAAAACTATGACATTACAATTTCCAAACTCATGAATAGAAGAATATGCACCCTCCAAACAAAAAATATATACAAGTAAACTTAGAAAAATGCAGAGAAATAAACCATACTTTGCTCGTTTAGCATTGATAAAGTCATCTGGACGACGAAGAACTTTGAAGTACCAGAGGAAAGTGAGGACTTCACCAATAAATGGAAGTCCCATATGACCGGGCGGTAATTTGGCATTAGTGGCCGAACGTCGTAGTTTGAGAGGAAGCACATACCAAAGCTCATTCCACCACCACAAGAGCAACCCCAACAAAGGCAAACCTCCCAAAACCAAGGCCACCCACACCCCAAAAGAGATATCCATGCACAAAATATATATATGCAAAGCCCCCTTCTTGGCACTTGTCCTAGCGTAGCAACTAATTTGTGTGATCACAAGCGCACTTGGCTGTATATTTATGGTTGATTCCGAGTTGGTGTGACCAGGTAAAGCAAATAGACAAAGCAATTAGCATAAGCATATACCAACCAACCCCCAATGGAATCTACAAACCCAGCTTTGGTCACGCACTTCAAATGGCATGAAAAATACTCTCCCTTCTTCTGTCCAATCAGATTAAATTGTACGTCCAATCTTCGCTTAAGAAATTAGTAATCTGGATAATCATGTCTTATTATCTGATTAGTAGTTTGATTATTCGTGTGTCCCTACAAATATGCTAAGCAAGGCCTCTTTGGGATATATACTTTTGGTAGATCCCAAGTTGATTATTCGTCTTAACCAGGAATTAGCAAGTAGACAAGGAGACCAACCCACCGGAAACCTACAAATTCCTTGCCTCGGTCACGCTCTTTAATTATTAGTTGTAGGTGGACTTATGTGCCAAAGAGGAAGCTGTCACTTGTATT